TATTTTCCTTCATTCTGATTGCCTTGCAGATTAATAAACTTGCAGATTAACCATTCTTTCATTGATCTCAACGACCCTTAAATATCATTTAGAAATCGATATCCCGAACGATCCTTTCTTCAACAAATGAAGTCCAACATATCAGTTAGGAGAAGAATATGTTCAAAATACCCTTGATGAAGGATTTGAAGGTGTCCAAAATATCTTCACAATACCAATTTTAACCAAAGAATTTCGATTGCAATACTTGTCTAAGTCGATATAACAGGATGTGATACGAAAATGGTAAGCGAGTCATATGACTTGCCAAAACCTGGGACATGAAAAAATATTGGATGTGCAAGTTAGTCAATGATAATACAAATGAGGTTACAAACGAAGTATACCTCGTCTGTGTTCATAAGCTGCAATGTCTACTTATGTTCTTCCTCGTCTGTGAACTTGCTCAACGTCGGTAATTTACCAGTACATAGTAAGAATCGTCTTTATCGTACTCCCATTCGAATTTATATTTCTTCTACCCTTTCATAGATGTCCGGTTTCTTTTTTCAAATTCTGTATCAGGTATTTAAATAATCCTGCTTATAAAAATATTGTTTGTATCTTGATGATCACATCTTCTTATGAATATGTACCTTAATAATTAACTTAATATCATTAAGTGATAATTCATTTTCATCCGGCTATTGGAATTTTCTCATTAAATTTCTCCGCACAGGCTAAAATTTAACCAACTAATTCCACAACTTCATTTCGCAAAATTTTTCTCGGTTACATATTTGACCCTCTCGAGAATACTTCAACGTCTTTCGATCTCGTGGGCTTTTCCTACCGTTTGCTTCGCGTACAGGAACAGGAGCAAACGTCAGTTTAATTCGTATTACTTTCCTCATAAATCCGTCGGGATTCGCGAGTGTAGAAGGGGTAGGGAAGCAGAATCCACGGGGGTAAACGATATAGTATCGCATATACCGCGAAATGTCTACGTATAGGTATATCTCTGTATACACGGTTAGCTTCGTTCCCGTGGGTGGTAAGGGTGTTGGGATAAGACCAGGAGAGTTCTCTTTCCCTTCTCCGGTCCGTTTCATTCTTTGCCTCTTTTCCTCGGTTCTCCTTGAGCCGTGGCTGTACCGATTCTAGACAGTTTTTGCTGAAACATCGCGCCGTTGATCCGGCATTTTCCAGGCCGCTTGGTTTATCGCTCGGCCTGATCCCTCTGTTCGTACCGCGGTGTTACAAGCCCCTGCAATCGATGTTTTCATCCCATCTTCCTTACTCGACTTGGTCTTCGTGTGTCCTACCTTCTTGCTTATCCACCTTCTTCTACCCCTACCCGACATTCGTTTTCCACTAGTGATTCCACGGGCTTTCCTCTCTCCGTATTTCTCTTTATCTTTCCCTTTGCTCCCGCCACGCCACGCCGCGCCGCGCCGCGCCGCGCCGCGCC